CACTAACTGCATCCCAAGGAAAACCTGCTCTGCTCTAGATGGGCTGTCAGGCAGCCCTTCTAACAGGAATTCCTACACAAGGAAAAGTAAATATAAAAGCTACATCCCCTAGCAATGCCTTTGGAAGAACCTGAAGCAAGAACAGGAGCTGCACCCAAACTTCTGAATGTGAAACGGCTGCACGACTCATACCCCTTCTACATTGTGCCTACATGTCACGATTTTTGAGGTGTCCAAGGCACTTACTCTTTCATTTCAGTGTATGCCCAGCGGCACTCAGTCAAACAGCAGAGTAGCCATGCTCTAGGCTCGTGCTAAATCTCTAGCTCAGGCCAGGGAATAGACGCCCATTTTGCCTGAGGAACTTAACCAAATAACCGTGCCGAGAACGTGCCAAACTCTCGGTGTTTGTGAATCCCTGCTTCAGGGCAGTGAGAAGTGGAGCATGACCTACAAGCCTCAGAAAACAAACATGGGGGCTCAAGGAGATGGACAGTGAGAGGGTGAAAACTGAGTTCAAGACAGATTTTCTGACGAGGGGAAGAAGAAATAAAGCTCAAATGCAACACAGCACAGAGGCTGTCCAAGGACAGCCGCTAGAAGGGAATCCTGTTAAAACAGCATGCTGTGATGGTTCAGGGACAGATGGGTTGGTAAGGTACCACAGGAAAGGAGAAGAGTCAGGAGTACTCAGGGTAGGAAGGACAGGCCTGCAGAGCAGGACACTGCTGACAGACAAGGTGAAGGCATGGTCCAGGGATATGTGGAGCACCAGGGAGAACTCAAGTGCCAAATCTCACCCTGTGTCTACCAGCCCTTACCTTGGGGTTTTGTGAAACTCAGTTCAACTGGTTTCACTCCAGGCACAATTTGGAGTTTGTGACACCCATCAAAGTGATGCTCCTTGCCTGTAACATCCTCTGTCACTTTGCAAGTAACAGTAGCACAGATCATCAGCTGCTTCCTACACCAGCCTCTGGGGCTCCTGCCATTTTCTTATACTCCATAAAACTCACAGTGGATCCCTCACCTAGCAGAGCTTGTTGGGATTTCTTTGGGAATCCTGTGGTAGAGGGTGTTTGAAGTAGTGGCTGCCAGATTCAGAAAATTACTATGGGAAGCAGATGTGTACATCAGCCAGAAGAGGACACACGCTAAACCCGGGGCAGTAGGCGCTACCACCATACTTGAGGTAACATCACCATGTCTACACAATATTGACATCTGACCTTTGCAGTTGCTTCATTCTAGGATAATCCCCCCAAACAACTTGTGCAAGGGAGGCAATAGCTTAACAGTCCACGAACATCTTCCTTCACGAATGTGTTAATATACTTACTTTTTCTTCACCGAAACTGTAAGCAGTTAATCCTGCCATCACTCCTGGAGCTGAACTCTTGCTTCTTGCTCTCGTACTTAGCCCCTCTCCAGGGCACGGGACACAGCAACGCTTTTAGATGGCGTCTAAGTTGGTGTCTTGCTGTAACGTGACAGAGGTATGTGCTTGGGAGTACTCTCTTCTCCATCCTTACTAAGGGTTTGGACTTCTGTTTAGGTACCAATGTTCAGCAATAACTTTGCTTATAAAATGAGCTGTCGGGCACAAGAACGTGGGCTCTTACCTCTATTATCAGGCTGATTGTTTGATAGTATGGTCCCTTGACTACATGTGTTACTTAACGATCTGTGACTGTCAGCGCCTTGGTCCCGGGCAGCTGTCTCCTCAGAGAGCCAACACTGGAATGCCTGAGAAGGGTGGGAAAAGGAGTGGTGAAAGAGCAGAGACGTCTCTTCCTTCCCAGCTCAGGGTTGTTTTGTTTGCCATGAACTCTCTCTCAATGCAGCGGGCTGTATATTAATAAACTTCGCTCCCCTCTCCTCCTGTACCAGCTTGCTACGACACTGGGAAATACCTGACAGCGAGCAGGGAATCTGGTGATACGCGCTGCTGTTTCTTCTGCCCTGACTTGAGGAGGCATCTTACCACTACGGGCTGAGTTCAGGGAACAGCAGAAGCAAGTAATTCTAAGACCTAGGCCCCTAGCTGTCATGAGGTGTGTCAGATTCCTGATAAATTCTACGCTGCAATTTAACGCAACTTTTCAGAGGATATTCTGTGGCTATGCAGGCTCAGCCCTTGCTATTTTAAGGGAAGCAACCTTGTCCCAACCACTTGCCACATTCAACTACCTAACTCTGTTAACTAAATAGAGGTCATTATGATGAAAAATACATTGGCCAAATTTCCAGTGAGTTCATAAGATGGTCCAGCCCCGTAAGCTGGGTTCTGGCAACATCTTTAAAGAAAGAATGTGACATTTCTGTAAATACAGAAATTCTGTGCTCCTATCTCTTCACCTTGTAAACCCTTTTTTCCAATCAGCTTGTCATTTTTGCATTGATTCTCCTCCCCTCACACTCTGTAAGTAAATGTTCTTCTCTTCCCCAAACTTACTGTCTGCAGTGCCTTTCGCCTGGGCTCAGAGTCTGGACAAGAACACGCTGGAAACAAGCAGCCTTGCGCTGCTGTTCTGCAGCATACGAGCACGCAGAATTGCTGCGTTCTCCTCGTTTTACATGCACGCTGGCTCGGAAGCAGATCCTGCAACTTGTTCTGCTCAGCCACGGGTATCTGTGCAAGAGAGGGAGGAGGAGAGAGGAAAGGCTTCTAGTCTGCTATACGTAGGATTCCTTTCATGCGCGGCATAGATAGTCCTCAGGACAGATAAGTCTCCCCTCCCGCGGGAGTCAGAACCTCCCTATACTCCCATTACAGGCACGTCAGGCCTCTACTCCAGCAGCTCTCCCTGCAGGAACCAGACATTTAACAGTTGGACCTTGCAGCACTGAACTTTTAACCCATTCACCCCCAGCTGTATTTTACCAATCATTTGTTAGTGAGAAAGAAACTGAATCTCCTGAAGCCATTTGGATCTAATTCTCCAGCTAATACAGCTGATTTTTTTGACTAACGGTCTTTTCTTAAGATGAGTTATGTATAAGGTATGACTGTACAAATTTAAGAAGAAAGAAGGAAGAGCCCTGAGAAGAATGAAGTAATTCTGTTTTCTGCGAGTGCACAGTCCAAGGAGATGACACATTACCAAGGATTAATAGCACACTGAAGAAACAGTAAAGTTAATCTTTGAGACAATGAACTCTGGATTTAATATACAATGCTAGGAGACAGATGTTTGTTTTCCTAACTGTGTCCTGGGAACCCATTTTTTAAAAATGGAATCAATCTGATTCCTCCAGGTGTGTGTATATTCAAGACCAAGCAAATGGACATTTTCAGCCTCTGAAATATTCTGTGTTCCTTACTCACGTTAAAAAAGTAAATGCCTGAAAGCATTGGGTTCCTTTCTGCTCAGAACAAATAGCATCTTCTTATGCACTCCTAAACAGAAAACATAATTACAAAAAGCCACCAGGTGGCAGCATATTAAAACATTTGTGCTATAAAAGGCCATCCACAACAATTAAAAAAAAAAAAACCACAAACAAAAAAACCACCAAACGCAAAACCTTCCTCCCCTCTCCCAAATCTTCAACCTGATATTTAGCAAATGTCTTCTCCCCACCCCTGTCCTTGTCGTTATGGCTTATACACCTATCTCTCTTCTTCTCTACATACCTGACATTAGTAGCAATTCCACTGCTGTCAACCAGCTTACTGCAGGCGCACAGTTAAAATGGAAGTCAAACTGATTTCTGGAATAGCAGTTAGTGGAAAAAATGAGTAAACAAAGTAGGTAGAAGTGATATGAAAAAATAGAAAAACTCCCAACAGACTAAACCGCTTTGCTTCCTCTGGGGTTTACCGAAACATTCCAAACCTCTGAGCTCTCTCCTAACTTATTTTTCTTTTTGTCTACAACTACATAGCGAAATGCCACCCAAAAGGAAGCACTGAAATCTTCACAAACCCAGGAATACACTCTTGCTCCTTCGACAGGCGGTACTCCTGGATTGCTGCTACAGGTCTGGCTCGCAACTACGCTGCCCCTGGCACCGAACCAGAGAAATGATCCAGCTCCGCGTTTCATGACCCATGAAAGCTGGAACTTGTCTCCTCTCCTCCGCCCCCTCGGTCCTTCTTTTCTGCTGGTATAAAGGACTGTTCTCAGTTGTGGCTCAGCATAGGGTAAGAAAGCCTAAAACCACTACAGACATATATGAAAGCTTTTAAGCTGGTACGTTATTTAAAATGCTAATTATTTACAGACTTTAATGCATTTTATGGTCTGCGACGCTAAACAGAAAATAACTGCTCTTACAGCATCTTGTGTTACAGGCTGAGCGTATGAAACACGGTAAGGCAGCTACAGAATTGTGCAAACTACCTAAAACATTTCTAAATATGGCCCTATAAATACAAGGTTATGTGCAAAATCTATCAACAAAGTAGAGCATAAACGGTGTACAATCGGGTCCTCAGGAAAGGCAGTTAAGAACTAACCAGAAGACAAATCACAAAAGCAAACACTCGTATTTTCAAACTGCAAGTTCAGTTCGTGAGAAACTGCATCTGTGTCTCTGACTTCTTAATTCAAACAGACACTACGCATTTTCCAATGCTGAAGTCACAATTAATTGGGAAATTAAAACACAAGCACAATGTCGGCAGAAATCACAAATTTATTAATCCTTAAATATATCAATCATTTACCATTATGGCAAGAAATATGTACACTGTGTCCCATGGTAAACTGCAGTGTTCCAAAATGACAGAAGAGAAGTGTATAATTCAATTGCGGTGGAGAGAACAAATCACAATTTCCTCACGTCTTGGTGTGGAAGACAAACTTGGTCTACAGTAATACGTCAACACCACATGCTATGTTAGAAGTATAAAAAAAACCACCCTACACCTAATTTGTTTATTTTAAATACAGTTATGCCACTTATAGCCGCTTCACAAAAAAAAAAGTAAAGAAATTAATGAGAAAAAAAATGAGGCCATTACTTTTTTCACAGATCCCATTGGCAGGTTAATATGGCTCAACACATTTATTGTAGATGCTTATTTTAAATATATATTGTTTAAAATCATGTAGTAATTATCAGAGAAGCTTAAATCCACCTACCATACATCCACTAGTAACAACACCAAAATGTTTAAGAACTGCTTTTGATTAGTAATCAACACAGAAAGGTGAAATGATACAAATTAGGAAGCCTTCCCATTTTAAAAACTTCAGGCTGCCGAGTTGTAAATTTTTAACTGCTAAAAAGGACATTGATTGAGCTATCATGCACTATACAGCGCTGCGGAAAACAGTTAGCCCTGTCGGTAACAGAACAACTAACAAATGCAAACCAAGAAATAACCGATCCCTGTATTTTGCTATTAAAAATGGAAGGGAATAAACCTAAATGCGTGCAAGGATGTTATTTTCACAGCAACGTAATGGAAGCAAAACCAGTCCCTGCGACAAAGTTTGTGTTCTGAACTGACGCCGAGAGCGCTCCCCGCGCAGCGTACAGGCGCTCGCAGCGGCGGATCGGGGGCCAAACCAAGTTGGTAACGCTGCAAAGATTGTTGTCCGGGATACCGTACGCTGCGTGAGGATTTTAAGAAACCAAGAGCAGATTGAGGGGGAAGAGGGGGGAGAAACAAATCTGTGGTGAAGTGTTAGAGTCTTACTAGAAAACGGGTGTATCCATAATACATTTCCAGAGAAGCAACAGCAGCAGTGTAAAGTAAGTAGACTCTTCGTACTAAGCTTTTAAGGCCTAACGTTTCTCGAGCATATTAACCACACAACTGGTCTACAGCTTAACCAAAATTTTATATTCTTTAAAGCCTCCTTAAAAAATTTACAGCACACCCTGAAAGCGATAAAAATCTTTCTTTCTCTATTCTTCCATTTTAATCCTCCAAAACTGCCCCTCAATCATCACTTAGTTCCTTACAACTTTTAATTTTGCTTAATCATCCAATAGAAATTTTCAGTTAGCATAGTAAGAAAGCAAAGGTAAAGACTCAAAAGGAAAAAAAAGAAGCTGCTGGCTCACCAGAACATTGACAGTTAATTCTGAAGTGACCAAGCCAGCAAATGATGAGATTGTTCCAGTTTACATAGACTAATAAACTAAGAAGGCTTCAGCTGGTCCAAAGCCAAGATATTATCATTTCCACATTTATCAGTGATTTTGTCCATCTACATGCTGTAATAAAAATCTGTTTTACAGTAACGGAGCTGCCAGCGGAAATCCTAACCCTTCCTACCAGAACCAAAGCAAAATCCTGGGACTCAGGGGAAAAGGAGGAGTCAAAAAACAGTTCTTAAAAAAAGTGGGTAAAACGTACTTTTTTTTTCTTTTTTTTTTTTTTTTAATAAACAGGATAGTTTTTAAAGTTGTCTGTCAAAACCTGGCATAAATGGAGAGAGTGACAAATGTATTCTGTATCTACTGCTGTCCATCAAATATTTTTTTGCCTTTTATGCCTTGTTATTCTCTATTTGCATGGAACATCACCTTCATTGAAATGTTAACAGTGTACAGATGGAATATACAGCAACATGGTGCATCACAAATGTGTTACATGAAGAACCTTCACAACTTCATGCACTCAGAAACATGCATGAAGAGAACGGGATGGCCAAGATGGTAATCAACCAGGTGCGTTGGGTACAGAAAATGCAAGAGCGGCACCGCTGATATTTTTAGCTAGGAGGAAGGAGAAAAAAAAAAAACAGATTGCCATTACTGAAGTAACATCACCACCAGGTAACAATACATGCTCAAGTGTTAGCCAATACTATTAAAAAAAATCTTCTCAAGGTCATTTAACACAATATTGTGAAGAAAACCAAGGGGAAAAAAAACCCAAACACTCAGGCAAGGCATTCCTTTATTTTTCAAACCACTTTACAGACATTTTCCATCTTTACAACATGCCAGAGGGGCTGTTAAAATAAAAAAGGAAACTGAGGCAGGAAGCCAAAGTGCCTTAACTGATTTCTTAAAGGAGGGAGGACAGAATTCAGATGTGAATCTCTGAGTTTAACTTACTTCCTCGGCATGTACATTATAGACACTGCCACGGACTGAGATTCTCATAGAAAAATTGAACCAAGTAACAAGGAAGAATCAGATGTCATTTACATGCAAGACATGCTAGAGCCGTATGCAAAGAGAAAACGAAAGAAAAGGAACGTGTAAGCAAGTAGTTAACTCAAGCAGCTAATAATATCATTTGTATTACCGTAGCATCTAGGGGCCGAAGTCATGATTGGGATCCCGCTGTGCTAGGCACTGTACAAACACAGAACAAACTCTTTACTTAAGTCTTCCTGCTGTTTGGCATTTAACTTATGAAACTATAAGAAGGTGTAAGGTGTGGTAAGTGAGGGAATATAAGCCTGGGAGCCTCAGGCCTAAATTTAGGTTTGGGAGTCAGTTTTAGGTCCGAGAGCCCTTTGACTGCCCGTATCATGCAGGTCCACTCTCTGTGTACATGCAGTCACAGTTCTGCAGAAACACATTAGCACAAGTTCTTAAGAACATGGAATACGGAGAAAAATTTCCTACCATCAGTTGTATCACTCAGAGAGAAACAATGGACAAGACACAAACCAAAGTTTGTCTTGTCTGACTTGCAGCAAAAACTACGAATAAAATTTATTTATAAACTAAATATACATTTGTGCTCAGATTCTTTTCCAAATAAATTATCTGTCATAAGGAAACATTTCCATATACCTATAGCTACCAAAGAGTTGAGTTCTGTCCTTAGATTTATGCACGCTCCTTACTGTAGTCCTGAAAACAAATAAGCTACTGTGCTTGCAGCAAGCAATTTGACATAATCTAGGATACTATGTTTGCAAAAGCAGATCACAGCTGTGATTGCTTTTGTAAGTTTATTGGATTTGAAATTCTTCTTCCGACATTATGTTGTAAGATACTTTTTTATTATGGAAGTGCCATTATTAACTACAGTGTATTGGTGATAAATAAATAAACAGCTGTAGACTGTATACATTTCAAATGCAAGAAAAGAAAGGAAGGATAATCTAGAACAATATTTTAATTAAATTTCTTCTGTAGTTTTCCAAAATGGAGTTATTGGTACACTGCTGCTCTGACTGGGAAAACTGAAGGTGAAGTTCAAGGTCCAAAAGACGGTCAGGATGGGTTATAGAGGGCGAGTTCTGGCATGGCGCTACATGGGAATCCACCAGTCAAACTTGAGAAGATGGGGATGAAAGAAAGAATATGTAAAATAACTAAAAAAAAAATGACAATGCTTGGGCTGAAAGGGGAGCTATCAGCTTAGAGGAGAAATTGCCGATGATCTGGGCACAAGCAGTAGGACTGATCTCATGTAGTATACTTACACTTAGGTGGAAGGCACTATAAATACAAAGGAAAACAAGAGTATTGTGCAAGAAGAGCCAAATAACCTCGAGGGCTGGGTAATCCAGAAATGTTACATGTAATAATAGGAAGCACAAAGCTGCACGCTCAGCAGAAGTTTCTATATACTCATTGGTTGGAAATGACCGTGGAGGATAAATACATGGCTGTCTTAGATGATCTGCTGATGTGATGTAGATGACAGAAGTGCAAAAATCATGCCAGAACACAGCAGGTGTGGCATTCTCAACAGGGAAAAGAAAGACGTTGTGAAGTTAAATAAAGCCCTGACCACAATTGTACACAGTATTTCAGAAGAACCCAAGCTAATGAAAAGACAAACCTCAAACCAAAAAAGACAGTGAAGAGCTATTAAGGTAACCAGGAAAACGGAGATCCTATCAAAAAAAGCCAACCAAGTTAGCATTGCTTATTTACCCTACGAAAATAGAAGGTGGGAAGTGAGATCATCAACCTTCACATAAAACAGCTCATTGTCTGCGTACCTATCCCCAGTATAGGAGAACAAGGATGAAATAAGAATAATCAAGGATGCATTGAATACGACTAAAATTTAGACTGGAAAGTAAGGTTTCTAGCCATCAGACCAACGATATTTTCGAACAGTGATATGAGCAAGTCCGAAAAAACCCCTCTGAATTCAAGATGAGGGTTAGGTAAGGGATTTATGTGATATTGTGGCCAGTGCTACATAGGGGCTACGTTGCAATCTCAGAGCATCTCTCCTTAAGCCTTAGCCATGCCCTAAGGCTTTGAGCCGCTACGCCTCCTCTGACCTTTTCAGCTTGGATACCCGCTCGCAATCCTGAAACCGCCCCTGTCTACCCCAATTCATGTCATTCTGCTATAAACACTTACTGTCCAGGGTGCACCGGGACAGGTGAACCTGTTTCACTTACGCTTTCTAGCTCTACACATATCCAGGTCAGATCCCTTGACAAAGCACTCCTTTATGAAAACATCACAAACCTACATGACACTGCATTTCAATAAAATGTAACTTCTCTTTCGATATTATCTGTTTAAACACCGGCAGTGCAGCTGGAATGTGAAAAACAAAGGATGACACGATTCCTGCTCCCACTGGTTTCACATTTTTAAATAAAATAAAATAGTTATCACTAGGTAATCAAATTACCTTTTTCCTAAATTTAAAAAAATAAAAAATCCCCACTGAAGTTTAACACTTCACTCTATCATGTACCTTACTTTATCAAGTATTATTTCATATGGGAGAATAGTGTTGCAAGAAGTAAAATATGGGACACGATGAAGTTCGAAGGATGAAATCTGAGCTCTTACCATCCACGCCAGGAAATTGAGCCACTATCCACATCAAGACACCTCACACAAATGAAATTATATCCTATGCAGAGGGCTTGCACCTGAGCAAACCAAGGCCTACAGCATTGCTGCCTGATTTGGAAACGGCCTAACCTAAGCCAGAAGTCAGTGAGGTTGGGCTCTGAGGGACACAGCAGCGTTAGCGACGGCTGCAAGCAGAAGAAAAAGCAAAGGACTTGAGCAGAACCTCTTGAAGAAGCCGTGACTTTCTGTCTTGTTATTGCAACTACGAGCGTGCTGTAATTTACACTGCTGAAAATCTGGCTGAAGGAATTCAGGTTTGCACGCGTTGAGTCATGGCATGACTCCGAGGGTATGAGAGGGCATGCAGAGATGCCTCAGTGAACAAAAGAGAAAAATGCTGACAGGAGAGACGTGAGGCTTACCACCTTAGATGTCATAACTATCAGTGACTATTCAGCAGTTAAGCAAAGAGAGTGTGGGAAAAGAGATAAGAATGTGGTAAGTACTTGTATGACTTAATTTACAAAGTAAATACGTAAACTGGCTCAAAATCAACTTGCAGTGAACATAACTAGGCCTGAGTAAGTAGAGGTGGCTGGAAATCACAGCAAGTATTGCTCAAACTTCAGTTTTTCAGAACAGGGATACTTTTTTCCTTGAAACTTTCCAGTCAGCTCTAACAACTCCATGTATCCTATTGCTTTTTTCTGGTTTTCCTGAAATTCCATTTCAGGTTTTCCAATTTTGTACGACTTGTGTCAAGCCTTATCTACATTAGAACATTTTTCTCCTCTTCAAGCTGTCAGTTCAGGGACTGAGTTGAATGAGTGGGCATCACAGTTGAAAACAACAACAACAAAAAGCATTATTTTAAAAGTATTTGCACCGATACTGTATGCACACTACTGAATATAATACACACTGCATAAATGACCACAAAAATGACACGATCAAGAAGATGGTTTCATTGTTTTTAAGGCCAAAAGCAGCTATTAGACTATCTGGTCTGACCTCCATAGTTTAAATTTGTGGTCTGAATTGTTTCTTACTTGATAGGTACTGTTGGTGACCCTGAACGGTGAAAATGAACATTCTGCCACTTCCCATCACGACGGTGCCAGACCCGCGTTTCCTCTGACTGCATAGTCTTTGGCATCCCGCTTCCATCCATGTACTGTGTGAGCCGTATATATGCAATGCAAGCAGCATCGTCACCCACGAGGTGGACGTGAGGATTGAGGATAATGGTGTGGATTGGCTTGTTACTTTTGGATAAAGCTAGGAAACAAACACACACACACACAGAGAATAAATCAAATTTTCTCTACATAAGCCAAAAGTAACTCATCTCTCCCCATTTTGCAAAACAAAAATCTCAAGCTTAGCAGATACAAAGTAGTAATTATTGTTTACTGATAATCACGACTGACAACTAGCTGAAGTACACTGTAGAAATGAGCACAGTCACAGCACAAAGAATGTTCTCCCCTTTCCTATAAGGAAACCAATCAAATGTTTGACAGTACATATTATTTAATCCATGTACGTACATGGATTAAAGCGAGGGCCACCATCTTGAGTTTCCCAGTTGAGTTTTCTCAATACTTCAGTTTCACTGCTGTGTCTAATGACATTTGTACTTAATATTTTCAGTTGAAATAATTCAGCTTTTAACTCACTCTTGTGACATATTTTCTTAAGTGCTGATATCTATGAAAACTAAAAAGCAGTGGTAACGAAAGGCAACATTTTAAGGAAAAATATGGAAAATGCCGTTTTGGAGATGGAAGAGAAATTAGGAATATGACAATCCCATTTTGTGCTCAGACATTTCTCAGAAATTACTGGATAAGCTGGTATCTTAATTTACAATATTTTCTTTCCTCTTAAGTCAAGTCTGCTCTAAAATGGTTACCTACATTACATGATCCTCCAAAACTATCAAATCCACTCTATGGGTAATTTTTCTTTCTTATAGCTGACATGACTGCAATATATATTATATATATTGATGTTTTCTTATATATATACACACACCCCCTCCCCCCAATACAAAAAAGAGAGCTGATCAGATCCTCAGCAGTATCGACTGAGTGACTACAATGTCTTCCCCAATACATCACATACTCTCTGGAGGTGCTGAGTATTAGTTGCAATCACTGTAATCACACAATTTAGTGACCTTTCTTTTAAGTATACTCACAGCATGATTTTCTCTTTTCCCCGGTGGAAAAAAAACGTATGAGAATTACTTATCTATGGTTTGTATGTTTTTTTCTTTTATACATCTTGACTTTCTCTTTCCGAATACCTGAAACTTTCCTCCGCTATCCAAGGTGCCCTATGACGCGTGAATGAGCGCAGCAGAAACAGAAAACCACATACAGCAGAACTCTGAAAAAAATAATATTCCCTTGCCCTGCCCAAATCAATTAACTCCCAAACCAAAACGCTAATTAGACCGGAGAAACACAATCACAAGGAACAGGTAAAGATTTAGAGAGATGAAAAAAGGACCGTTTACCATTTTCAAAGTAAAACCGGTGAAAGTCCATCCCTTCTACTAGATTACCCAAAGCTTCAGGTTCAAAAGATGTAAGGCCTGGATCACAGATTTTTCTGTGGAAAAGAGGAAATTCTGTCATAAACACATGCAGTTATGTAACACCATTTTGGAGAGATTACTTTTTAAATGTTTCCTTTATTCCCATCGGACATGTTACTTACCTGTGCCATCACACTGGAAAAGAACAGAACTTAAACGGGGAGAAGTAATGGAATTCTGATTTCACCTAAATTAGTAAATTTGGCAGCTTACTTTAGGTGGACTAGATTTCATATAAATCATCTTTTGACCAAAAAAAAAAAAAAAAAGACTGCCAAAGAAGGCTCCACAAGTTAATGGTATTAGAAGTAGGAATTTTTACTTGTGACTCTGAAAACTGCTTCTGTGCAATCCAAAGGATATTTTTTATGTCTCACATCATTATTTAAGAAAGATTTAAATTTTTTTTTAACTGACAAAATTTAGGTAAGAATTTGTGCAATGAAGGTTTTAATGCGATCGTACCAAACTAAAGCTTAGTGCTGGCAAGTCTTTAAACAGGACGAGCAGTGTCACTGTTGGACTGTGAGGCTTGCGCTGCAACAGGACAGAATCCACCCAGAGAAACACAGGAGACCAAAAGAAATGCTGAGAAGGGCTTTCCTCTACTTTTTAAAATTTTATTTTTTTTTTTTTTTTTTTAGGTAGGAAGAGAAGAGAAGCAGTGATGAAATTGTGTCTGTGCAGAGAAAAGCTGAGAGAGAAATCGGTCCGCTTTCCCCCTGCAAATTCTTGCACAGCGCTCAGTAGAGGCTGGTGGAACCTAAATTCCACGTTGTCTTTCGCGCTCTTAAGCATAAACAGGATTCTAGCTAGTATCAATAAAAAATTTCTGCTAAAAGAGGCTTCTACTGTGTTTTCTGGATTCTAAATCACCAACAGGACTTTACTCTCGTGCACCAAGGTAGATCACTGCGTATTTTGCATCAGGATTGTGATCCTGTCTCGGCAAAGCAGGACATTGGATTTACACTAGCAGCTCCTCTGAGCTCGTGTAAAGCCGGGGCAAAGCAGCAGTGAACACGTCTTGTGTTTCTTGGGGGCATCTGAGAATGAACTTCAGCAATACATAAACACAAACACGCACGCTCATATATAAATATGCATATTTACATATACAGTTGTCAAATACATCAACTCTCCTCACTCCCCCCTAAATGAGAAAACTTACGTGTAAGCTTCAAAGTCCCCATTGTTGATAGCTTCAATCAACTGCTCAGTAACCTTGATAATCTCCTGCTTACGAGCTAGAGAGAGATACAAATACAGCTCTTAAAATGGAAGGCGAAGTGGAAGGTGACAGCTGAAAGGCTGTCAGAAGAACAGCCATATCAAAGGTATTCTGTCATTCCTCAGCTGGCGCACCAGCCATCTCTCTTCCTTTTCTATGACCAAAGGATGTGATGTTATATTGCTGCTTTACACTGTTTTGGCTTCAGTGCACTCCTGTATCCACGAGGAAATTAAACACATGTCAAGATCAATCCACTTTCCTATCACGCTTCTAATCATCTTTCTTTCACTGAGGAATCTGCTGTTTAAAAAGCAAAATAAAACCAAACCCAAACCCCAACTCTTCACTGCAAATTAAAGGAAACCGATGATTATTTAACAAGCAATGCTCTAATGTTTCATATACACACGGGGCCTTTACCTTTTAAGTGTCTAATGTCAATTTTCAGGAATCTGTGTAACACTTGGTGTTCACTTTGGCCAAATGTGTACGTTTAAGTAAAGAGGAATTTAGGTCCTAAGCCTATAATCAAGATCGTCTGGTGCAAAGCTCGCAGATTACATCTAACACATCCACATCCACACAGGTCTAATTACAACACCGTGCCTTTCACCTCTGACCTCTGTGACTGTGCCGATCCTTTGCTTGTAAAATGCTTAAGGCATCGACATTACAATAAACCTCAACTAGATCATTTGGTGATACTACAGTACATCTATAACTAATAGTAATAAATGCTAAATAGTAACAGAAGAATAATACATTAAAAGCAACAAGCAGGATATGCGTTTCTAGTAAGAATATTCAAACTCAAGCAGTGTTTGCATAGCCTCAGGCAAAAGTATGCAAAACAGTTTCTCCTTTGTCTATCAGTCAAGAAATAAGCCCACAATTCAGTATTTGTTAAAGTTGATAGGAGCTTCACTAAAACAGTGTGCGGTAAACAAAGTCCTGCACAGTGATATGGCTATTACTGATACCAGTTACTCTAGGCAAAGTTTAAGATGCTTTATCAAGATGGAAAATCTGATTTCACTTTGAAAACTGACTTCTGCTTTTAAAAACTTGGTTTTTGAGGAACAGAGGTTTATATTTTTGCACTGTATATTCATCGTTTGGTAAAGGTCAACCTTCTACAGATGAAGTTCAACCAGAGTGGCACTGCTCTCAAATACAGATTTTTGCTAGTTTAATGCTAAATGGGTAAGGAAGACAGATTTTTACCGGTACAATTGCAAGGATTTAACTCACATTCAACTCCTTATTAAACCTCAGAAAATCAGTTTGGAAGACCAAGCTTGAAATAAAAAGAAATGCAAGCAACCAGGCTGTAGTAGCTCTCTTGCGCAAGCAATAGTTGTAATTCTCCCGCACACTCCTACATGTGGACTGGACTATTAACACACACACACACACACACAAACATGCCTGGAATGTTACAACTGAAGTACTGAGAGAGCTCACATTATTCTTCAAAAAGAAAACGTTGGGGAGCACAGGCAGAATGCAAACCTCCAATGCTGTATGGCAAGAACTGGCATCGTGGTGTTAAAGAACCTTTTCATCTCTTTTATGCTCCACCATCTCTTTTAGTTAAGTGCAAACCTAATATATTCAGATAAAAATCACCAAAAAGAAAGCAGCAAGGAAAGAAGGGATGGAGAAAAAAGTGGCTATAAAGGTCTAGCAAGGCTTTTTGTGAGTAGTTCTTGACTACTAGATAGCATGATGGGTAAGAATATTTCAAGTATGAATTGCCTTGCTTTTCACAAAGATTGTGGAAAGAACAAAGACTTTTAATGAAGAGATGTTTTGACTGCAGATCACCAATGGCTCCATTGTCACATGTTTAAACAACGCAGACCAAACTGGACATTGTATGGCATTGTCAGAACAAGCCAAGTGGTGGGATGATTGAGTAAGAAATAATGGTGCAGTGTTAGAAAAGGCTGGCAAAAAGAAATCCCGAATACACAGACTTCATGCAGTGAGGAAATCACAAGTTCTGCATGCTACATCTCATATACCTATAACTAAACTAAAGGATTTGATTAAATCACCTGGTAACACATTCCAATCAGAGACTAGGAAATTACAGACTGTTAAATCAGAGTGGAAAATGAGGTAAAAATCTCTGACGAGCTGCTACATAATCATGAGATCATGTTATTGGATAACTGTTAATGTAAGCAATGAAAACGTCTACAACGGTACTGTAGTTTCCACACGCAGGAGACATAAAACCACACGGACACGTAATTTTACTTTCACTTGGCTAGAGACAATTGGCAATATTCCCCTCTTCACTAACAGCAGTCATTTCAAAGTTTTACCATGAGAAGCCCAGTTAACTTACACATTATACATACTCTTGACAGGGAACAGCAAGCAACAGTGAACATTGAATATATTTTACTACACAACATTCTGTGATCCAAGCCCAGAGGCTTATGAAGGTGTTTTGTGTTGTTTTAAATGAATGGTGTGCAACAGCTCAATTTAGTTGGATGGTAACCTGACTCACTGGCATCTGTTCGCGCCTTCAGTAGTGTGAGTTAAAGGAATGTGAGTGACAGAAGTTTCTCTCTGTGAATCTTTGAGATTTTGAGACTTGATTTCAATCTGAATGAGAATGGAAATTTTTGCTAACATACATTTAAAAAAAATTGGTTTGGGTCAATCAAAACGTTGCACTTGGATCATACCTTTGATGTTGTACTACATTACAAGATATAATTCAACATCAACCCCAGAAGGGAGAAATTGAACCGTATTGCCAGATTGCTCTTTTTCCTGTTTTTTCTTCCAAAACGAATACGCAGTGGAACACACGTTTTCATGAAGCTTTCTGATAGGAGCCACCTAATATTACAGAATATTGGTTCCAGCAATTACAGAAATGGTTCCAGCGAAGTTCCTCTGGGCAGTACTAACATCTAGTAGAGCTGTGTCTGCTGACCTGTCCATGGAACATAAAACACGTCCATCAGGAAGCTCTACAGGCCAGCAAAGTAAGTAAAGGAGATTAAGGCAGTATCACTGGCTCAAATCAATCACCGTCCAACTCCAGCACTAGCGTCAGTCCTTCCAGTACTTGCGGAAAGACTTCGCAGTTCACGGTGCGGACCGTCAGGAACAGAAAGATGTTGCCAAATCATCTGCCTTCCAACTCATTTCTCAATTTTTCTACAAACTTACAAGCGCCACATGAAACTGCATATGAAAGCAATACGCTACTCTTCTCTTTCTGTAACCCACAAATAATTAGACACATATTAGAAGATTAGATTTCTTCCTACTTAGTGATCTGATATAGAATCTCATTGGCAGAAAGTGACTAAGCGTCCAAGACAGAGGTGAAGCGTAATTTAGAAGCTGGAGTTCCAGAAAGGATTTATCCTGAGTGCAAAACCCCACCTTGTTCTCACCCCTTACTCATTTGAGAGCAAGAGTGCGCATTACAAGAAAAAGATGGTCAAGAACAAGGCGGTATGAAATATTCAGCAACATCAGATATCAAAGAATAACTAAAAAACTCAGTAGCCGCTGTGATTTTACACAAACCTCCTACTGATTTTTTTGGGGATCTTTTTTATCTTAGGATTTTATACTTTCTGTGGAGGTATGTGTGTGGGCGCAGGGAGACAGAGTACAAATATAGACCAAAAGTATTTCAGCCTATAAATACATTGTCTAGGAAGCAGCGGTTTAGCCTGGGAGGAAGGAAGAGGAAGGAGACAGGGAAGAACTGGAACACAACAAGCAGAAAATTGGAAGGAGACTGGAAGGCAGCGAGAAGGAAAATGCAGCCATGACTTGGTGGCCATGTGAATCAAGTCAAATACCGGCGCTTTTCCTTAGCACAAAGGAAGAAACAGGGAGGGCACCGAAGACCAACTAAGGTGAAATGGATATTGGTAGGAACAAGGTCTTGCTACTGCAGATGACACCTGACAGAAATAATTGGCCCTTATTAAAGTGGTTAGAAAATTACCAAATTTTCATTATCAATTTGATGGACTCTGTGTAACACATGCTCTTCCAAACATCCAATTTCTTTTTCCATCTGAATACACATTACAAACTACACAGGGACAACAAGCCAACGCACAAGGCATTAGGGAAGAGGCATCTGGCCAGTCCCCATCTGCCAGATAACTGTCACTTACGGTCACCATTTTAATTTGATTCTTCTTTTTTTTTTTTTGATCCAATAGCAAACTTTGTACTGAAATCTAGGAGAATTATGCTGTTTGACGTACAGTGGCCATTTTATGCTATGTTATACTTTTTATTTGATGTGCAGTAAGAATTTCCTAAATAAGTACTTCAGCTTTGGTTAAAGCCGGCCAGAGATCCGTATACTCTCTCACAGTGCGATGAGACCATCGGACTGAACCAAAACACGCGGTTTCTTTGGCACGATGAGCTACGTGTATTACAGCTGTCTTATTCTCCCTTTAAAATATCACCGCGTGTTCAGAGCGCAAGGACTATGTTTAGTCTTATGGTATGTAAGAGTTTGTTTGACAAATTACAAAAATACTCTAAGATACAGGAGGAAAACTCAAAAATTGTAACGGGATTCTGATAAAACTGGTTCAGCTACTCTTTCTAAGGAGTGTGGTAAGAGCCAATTGAAAAATTAAAGCCTAACCCATCTATACTGTCTTAGAATATGGCAAGGGCTTTTCTATGGCATAAAATTACATAATCTGTGTAAGCAAAGGATTACTTAGCAAAAAATACATTTGGTGTTTTTAAAACAACTGAGGTGTGAGGGAAGAACGTTGTTAGAAGTCAAAGGTGCTGAGCCATTTTCTTTGAAAAACTAGTAACGAAAAAGATGGCAGACAGTATAGCAGAAAGCGACCATAAAATGGCAAACTTCTGTGGAAAAGATGGTAGCTTTTACAGCCTTTGCTCAGAATACAGGTGAAGTAAATCCATTAAAGAAAAGACCATGGACCTACTCTCTAAATATAACCTTTACCCCTGCAGGGACAGTGAGTT